TGAATGATCGGGATATGTATGTGATGAGTGATGCAAACCATATGGTTGAATGATCGGGATATGTATGTGATGAGTGATGCAAACCATATGGTTGAATGATCGGGATATGTATGTGATGAGTAATGCAAACCATATGGTTGAATGATCGGGATATGTATGTGATGAGTGATGCAAACCATATGGTTGAATGATCGGGATATGTATGTGATGAGTGATGCAAACCATATGGTTGAATGATCTGGATATGTATGTGATGAGTGATGCAAACCATATGGTTGAATGTTTGGGATATGTATGTGATGAGTGATGCAAACCATATGGTTGAATGATCGGGATATGTATGTGATGAGTGATGCAAACCATATGGTTGAATGATCGGGATATGTATGTGATGAGTGATGCAAACCATATGGTTGAATGATCGGGATATGTATGTGATGAGTGGTGCAAACCATATGGTTGAATGATCGGGATATGTATGTGATGAGTGGTGCAAACCATATGGTTGAATGATCGGGATATGTATGTGATGAGTGATGCAAACCATATGGTTGAATGATCGGGATATGTATGTGATGAGTGATGCAAACCATATGGTTAAATGGTCGGGGATATATAAGTAATGAGTGGTACCGATCATATTGTTGAATGATCGGGATATACATGTGATGAATGGTGCGAACCATATGGTTGAATGGTCGGGAGTGTATAAATGACGAGTTATATAGGTCATTGGTTGAATGGCCGGGGATGTATAAATGATGAGTTATATAAGTCATTGGTTGAATGGCCAGGAAAAATATAAATGATGAGTGGTGCCAGACATTGGTTAAACAATAAGGAAATATGCTAAAAATTATGACTAATGCAAATCATATTGTTGTGTTTTTCGGATATACAGTGGACCTCCGATATTAATTAATAATCCCGACCTGAGCGGAGGACAATTATTAAAAAGCTCGAATATCAAACGCTTTTGCCTATGTGTTCTTTATTACCAGTGAGATTACCCTCAACAGTCGATCTTGCACAGTGTTCTTTAGCACTTACATATTAGCGTCGAATTAGACTACAAATTTAAAACAGTGTTTTCCGCGTTAGCGCAGTCGATAGGAGACTCGCTTTTAAATCCAGCTGTGACTCGCTGCAGCACACGGCCGGGGTCCGAAACCCGACGGTTTCTGGGGTTAACCAAGCCTCTAGAAAATGGGTACCAGAGTTAACACTCTGTGGTAAATGGAGGAACGTCGCTGTAGCTACGGAGCTTCGTGCGGACGGCGACGCAGGCGGACAATTTCTTATCAGCTATCCGTACTAGATGCAGAGCACTTATGGTTTATAACCGTGTGCAATGACGCCTTCCCGACTTCACCGTTTTTTTTTACCTTTCCTATTATGTGTTTTAATATTAAGGGCACATACAGTATGTATAGCACAATTTTCCTTGCATCTTTCACTATAGTTTGTCTGTAAACTCTGTAGTTGTTGTTTCCAGTTTTCTTTCACCGGCTGTAAACACCGGCGGAAAGTCCTGGTTGTTCATCCATTTGTAGACTTTGTGGTTTTATTCGAGTACCTTAGTTTTGCGCGTTTACCTGTTTTATGGAACTAGCCTAATTGTTTGCAGACTGTTGGTTTCCTGCCTCTCGGGCAGATGCGCTCCGACTTCGGAGGAATCCCCTAATTAGTCGAAACCTACGTCATGCTTATTGGGGAGGCAATGGGTCTATTCTTGTTTTTCTGCACAGTGTGGCCCAGGAACCCACACAGGGGTAGACTATAGTGATGCATTTGGCGAGATACGGCGAAATATGGCAAGCAATAGAATGTGCAGTTTTGTGTGTGTCTGTCCTCGTTGTTGAAATTAATCTAGCGATTTTAAATTGAGTTGGTTTTATTATTCAACGGATCAGTATCATGACACACAGGTGCAACCAATAAGTGCTCCGTTTTTCTTCAAGCCTGAGTCCAAAGAATCTCAGCGCTGTGCACGAACTCCGTTGCACCGGCGAGGATCCGGAACTAATTTGGGTAGATTTTAAACTCCAAATTTTGCCCGGGCGGCACCGTTAGGCTACTCTTTTCGATTTCCTACTGCCAATGGATTTTTTTTACGTGCGCAACAATACACATGGGCGTCCGATCTTACTACCCAGAGACCGGGGTAAATTACTAGAAGTTTACGTAGAAAAATCCCAACCTTCATCGGAGCATGAACCCAGGACCTCTAGCACTCGAAGCGGACACCATGCCTCGAGACTACGCAGCCCCTTCTAGTAGTTTTAGAACTCCCCTGGCCGAATGGTTACGTCGGGCACTCGTACTGGAGAACCCGGTTCAACCCTAGGAAGGGTTATGGATTTTTTTGTCGGGGGCAGAATTTAAAATCCTAACCTGCACAGTCCGTGGCGACAGCACTAGTCATGCAGCTCTAAACCCCCAGGCTCATGTCCCTTGTCTACACCGCCCTGAAAGTGTATATACAAGCAGTAGTGACAGTAACAGCTGATAATTATTTTCAGCCTTAAACCTGGCACTTTCACTTTCTCATTCACATTGAGCCAGCGGATTAACCAGTTATTTGTATTTGCTGCCCGGATCCAATGTCACCTATTTAGATCGTAAGTGTTTGAATAAATTCCCAATGTGCGCGTATATTTTCCTAAGTCATTTTTGTTGTCAAGTACACGGTGTCAGGCTTTCATCTGTCTTAACGGTTCTCACCCTGTGGGTCTCAACTCCTTTGGGGGTCGAACAAACATTTCACAGAGGTCGTCTAAGACCGTCGGAAAACATATTTACTGAAGCTATGAAGTAGCAGCAAAAATAACGTTACGGTTGGGGGTCACCACAAGACGAGGAACCGTATTAAAGGGTCGCGGCGTTAGGAAGGTTGAGAACCACTGATCTAACTGGACTAGAAATCCCTTTTTGACGTGTCACAAATTGTAACCTTCTACAAAGCATTATATAAATTGTGGTTTGCGAACGACGAGAGTCACACCGTAGCTAGCTTTCCCTGAGGCGACGGCACATAAATGTTTAAAAAAAATAGTAATACATAAGTCAAATTTTTTTTTTTCATTTATGTATTTCTTGTTTCTTTCATCGAGTTTCTCACTGTTTCGTCTTTAGATTTTCTTTGTGAACTTTGTGGGATTAATAATACAGAAAGACCTCGTTAACACAAACTCGCTTAAGAAAGACAGTCGGTGGTTGACACAAACAAATTTGGTCCCAGCAGGGTTGTGCTGTTATTACTCCCCGGATAGCATGGAGTTTTTAAATACGAACTAAATTTTTTGTCCCTTTGAATTTGTGTTACCGAGGTTTTACTGTATTAATTATCATTGGTTTATTGAAGTTAACGAAGTGTTGCGGGGCGCAGGTTCGTAGGACCCGGGCACATTGGCCAGGACATTGAAGCACCACATATCGCTGCGACTTTCCCTCAGAGTTAGTCTCTCCTGTTTTAAGGATGCCAATGACATTACATAGAGCAGCGGTTCTGAGCCTGTGGGTCGCGACCTTTTGGGGGTTCGAACGGCCCTTTCACAGAGTCGCCAAAGACCAACGGAAAACACATAATCACTGAGGTTATAAAGTAGTAACGAAAATTATATTATGGTTAAGGGTTACTACAACATAAGGATCTGTATTAGTGGGTCGCAGCAGTAGGAAAGTTAAGAACCACTGACATAGATGAAGACGCTTGGTACCTATCTTTCGCACCACGCTGGTTATAGAGCTTTGAGAGAGAGAGAGAGAGAGAGAGAGAGAGAGAGAGAGAGAGAGAGAGAGAGAGAGAGAGAGAGAGATGAGGATGAGAGAATAAAGCTGATAGTTTTTCAGAAGCCGAATTGTTTTATTCAAACATGGCCTTGGCTCCAAGGTCGACCCACTCTTAAGTGGGTACCAGATAAAGTCCCCTTGACCATACCAAGGGCGAACAATGTGTCGACAATAGCACTGTATTCCTAATACGTCCAATGGTGTGGAAAAGGATCCTTTTTTTCAGATAGTTTTCATCCAATCAATCAGCCATACAGTCGATCAGCAAATCCGATCACAACATAAAGTTTGTCGGTTGAGTTTCCTCTTCTTAAGATAAGACCAGTATTATCCTGAGCGCTCTTGTCCGCTCGAAGCTGTTGACACAATGTGGGATGTCAGGTTTGGTATACGCAGCCCCAACATATGGCGTTAAAATATGTTTTACTGTTTATTGCTATTCCGAAATCGAGTGAATAGTGAAACTATCAGGCAAATTGTGGAAACAACACCTTGTACTAGATTCATCGAGAAACAGCAGATTAAGTGGTTTGGCCATCTCGTTAGAATGCCGCAAGATCACATACCATCACAAGCACTACATCTCAGAAGATCAGATACAAGAGCAAGAGGACGGCCGCGGAAAACATGGATCGACAACATTAAAGACACTCTACGCCTTCACGGCATGACAATAGCCAGTGGCAGCCAACGTGCACTGGATGGCAAATTAAACCTCCCCACGAAGCTTAACGGCAGAAGTGGTTTATGATGATGATGTTTACTTGCTATATGACAGCTTAGTCATATCTGTCCAAGACCTAACACACTGCATAATTTATATATCTTTACTGTCGGGCATATGATGCTAGGGGTATTTTATTTTAATTCACCCTATCCCGGGACTCCGAGATTTCGCGAATAGTTCCCTAGAAAGTCCAACAGTATAGAGGTTTTAGGGTGTGAAACCAACACCGAAAACCTTAACCCTAACCCTTGTATAATATTGAACTTTCCAGGGAACCACGCGAAATCTCAGGGTCCATGATATATAGTAAATAAAAGAAAAGACTGGGAGGTTCCGTGTATGATATGGTCATGGTCACGCCGGCAGCCTTTACTTCTTATGACATTGCCTGATACCCATTTTAGGCTAGATCGAACTGAGAATTACTTAAGTATTATTGAACGCATCCCGTGTATAACATCAGTAATCTTTCCGTTCACAGGTGTACGTCAAGTTTGTTGAGACAAACACCAGCTGGAGCGGGGTACTTCGATTCGGATTCACCAGCATCAACCCAAGCACGATACGGGGCTGCGACCTGCCGCGCTATGCGTGCCCGGATCTGACCAACAAGCCGGGCAACTGGGCCAAAGCCCTGGGGGAACGGTATACCACCAGCAACATCCTGCTGCACTTCAGCGTCAACAGAAACGGCGACGTCACGTACGGTGTCAATGGCGAGGAGAAGGGCCTCTTCTTCAGCGGCGTGGTCACCTCGCAACCCTTGTGGGCAATGTTGGACATCTACGGCAATACTGTCGGAGTGGAGTTTTCTCATGCAAATGCAGGTAAGATAGAGGGCTGGGTGGTCTCGAGGCATGGTGTCCGCTTCGAGTGCTGGAGGTTCTGGGTTCAATCCCCGGTAAGAGCTGGGATTTTTTTCACGTGGACTTGGACTTCTAGTAATTCCCTCTGGTCTATGGGTAGTGAGATCGGACGCCCGTGTGCATTGCTGCGCACGTGAAAAATCTCTTGGCAGGTGGAAATCGAAAAGAGAAGCCTAACGGCGCTGTCCGGGCAAAATTTGGAGTTACAAATCTACCCAAAGTATTTCAGGATCCTCGCCGGTGCTACAGAGCCTGTGCACTGTGTTGAGCTTCTTCGGACTCAGACTTGAGTTAGAAGAAGAACGAAACACTTATGTGTGTCATGATGTTAGTTCGTTGTTCAAACTTCAAACATGCAGATAAGATGTTAGTAGAAATTCACGTGACAGAAAAAATATAGCAGTAGCAATTTCTTTTAAGGCCGCCGTTGTGTAGCGGCTACATGCTCGCCTACGGATCCGAAGGTCTTAGGTTCAGGTCCTAAAAGAACCAGATGTCAAACCCCCCCCCCCCCCCCCAATGGCCTTGGCTCCCATGTCAATTCAGCTTTAAGCTGGTACTAAACAAAGTCTTTGGAAGTAAAGGCGACCGGCATGATATTGACCACATCACCCACCGAGTGTTGATTGGTCTATAAAATTTAGGTCTAGATCACCCACCGAGTGTTGATTGGTCTATGAAATTTAGGTCTAGCCCTATATACCCAGTGCGCCTGCTGAAAGCATGGAAACTTGTCCTTTACTTTTAATAGTAGGGTTTACCCACTTATTTAATCTCTTTAAATCTAATGAACTAGGCAAACATTTGGGAAGATATTAGAATTGAGAACAGTTCTTCTTCGCTCGCCCTTGAAAGATCGGCTGCCACGTTGTATGCGGTTTACAGCTAGGCTGATAAATGTTTGCCTTTCGATCTAACATGAAATGTTAGCAAAACTCCTAATCAGTCGCCTTTTAGGATATGCTCTTATTTTAAGGGATAGCAAACTCCCAATTTGTTGCCTGTTACGACATGCTTGTTATTCTCTCCACCCCCCCCCCCCCCCCCACCGATCAGCACAGTAAAAAACCACAGCCCACGTGTGCAGCTCAGAACAGTAATAGAGAAATTATTCTAGACGGCGGTGTATCAACAACGCTTTTGGAATGTGTTATAGATGTGGCAAACTTAATCAAAACAACAGTTGTATGTGCAAGGCAGATAGCGTAAACAAGAACGCCAGACAACTTTGGCAAAGTCCAAAGTACAAGGAAGACCATGCATCGCTGTCAGGGGCATTAACCTACATGTTGATCAGAGTGAGCTCCCATGCTTCTCGGGGAGCCTAAAGACGAGACTGAATAGGAAATCTGTATTTACATTTTGCAAGTATTCCTCCTCCTCCCTCTCCTTCTCCCCCCCCCCCTTCTTCCTCTCCTTCTTCGTCCTTCTTCCTCTCTTCTTCCTTATTTCTTTCCTTCTTCACCTGCTTCTATCTTCCTTCTTCTTCTTCCTTCTTCTGCTGCTTAGTCGTTTTTTTAACACTTTTTGCCTTATTCCTTCTTCTGTTCCGTTATTCGCTTCACCCTCGGGTCATCAACACCCCCCCCCCCCCGTCCTTCTCATATACTGAGCCTATTTTGTCCGTCCTTATGGTGCAGGTAAATACAGCGAAAACATTCTACATCACCGCCTCTTTCCTCTTCTAGTTTTTTTTTTCCGAATGACTGCTCTTCTCTGCGTGTGTTTTATTTGCACTCACTTCATCTCTGTGATTGTGTTATGTTTATATGCCAGCCGTCCCTAAAAACAACTCCCATCTCTCTCTCTCTCTCTCTCTCTCTCTCTCTCTCTCTCTCTCTCTCTCTCTCTCTCTCTCTCTCTCTCTCTCTCTCTCTCACCTCCCTAACACTCTTCCGCCTCCACATCTCTCCTCTCTTTGTCCTGGATTTCGTTTTATTTTTGCACGCTCTACCTAGATCATTATTTACATGATCAGTTAAAAACAGGCGTGTCGTTTCTGTACGTGCAACGATGAGAGAGTTAAGAGCTAGCTTTCCGTGTATGAAACTGTTCGCAAACGTATGCGGCAGCACTAATGTCACGAGAGGTAGCGGGGATTGCCCGCGTTGGGGTTAGTGCCAGTTGTCAATCTTCTGGGGTCGTTAAAAGCGGTCACATCGTTTTATATAGAGCAAGCGTTCATCATTGTCATCATCATCATCATCGTATTCTTTCTTCTTCTTCTTCTTCTTCTTCTTCTTCTTCTTCTTCTTCTTCTTCTTCTTCTTCTTCTTCTTCTTCGTCTTCTTCTTCGAAATCTTAAAGCTCCCGAGATGGGGTGAAATAAAAGAACAGTGCCGACATGCTTGTTAAAGGACCGTAGGTATAACCCCCCCCCCCTTTTCCCTATTTTTTTCCCTCTATGAAATTATGCTTACATACGTGCGAGGAAAGTTAGTGCCAGACATAAGAGGTAATACCCACTTATACAGGTTACGGTTATAATTAAGTGCCGTTTGCTTGTGCTACCACTGCTTATTTCCTTCAATGCTTATACATAAGAGTAATTCATATTGCGTTGTGTCTGTCTTGTCGATAAATCTTTCTGCCCGCTCCCCTGCCCGCTGTCTGTTCATTCACACCTCTCCCTAAATCCCCGACACATTCTGTCTGTCTTCTTGCTGGTCATACATGAGCAGTTTCATCTCGCTTTTATTGTATTGCTGACTAATATGTGTTATGAATCTGCTATGCTGAACAAATTATGAGGTGCTTTAAAAAATATTAAAATTTGACATATACACAATACAGTCACCCAGTTACTTCCGTTGTTACATGACGGCCAGATCCTGTTTCTTACTCTGTGAGTTATTATGCTTATTTTTCTAGTCATCCCTTTGTGGGATGCAGTTTTTCGTTATTTGAAGCCCTACTTTGGCTGTTGCAAGGGGCCGCAGTATACGCGGATTCTGGGACCTCTTCATGGGTGATCCTCACTCACATGGTGGCACTTTGTGTCATCGGGTGTTTATCGCTTGTGTGATGTCCTGGTGGGGTAAAAGAAGATAGAGATACTCCGTCAGCGGCGCGAAGACGGTTCACGGAGAGTAGACAAAAGACAAATAACACACATCTCATAACATGCTTTTGAACAACTCACGATTCTCAACCCATCTTCTCGTTCGCCTGCGAGATTTCGTATTTGTTCCTACGGGCTGTCCTATGTTCTAGGCGAAGGGCAACCATTCGTGAATGCAGGACAGCTTCTATTCAGTTCACCGGCCAGGGACAAACCCCCTTCTCCGTGAGCTCTGATATCAGAATACCATATCTGACTCTGTTGTAGACATCCTCAAGATCAAATGCTACCACAACCGTCTCCTGTTTATTCTGGAACCACCCATAAACATCTAAAGTAAAAGTAACTGCATTTGACCTGGTATCTTTCCGTGGCCAGTAACTGTCCAAATCTTTTGGCGGGAACTCTTACCTTTCTAAAAAGGTTTGTAGTTTAAACAGCAATAATCTTCTCTAGCACATTGCCAAACACATTTTGTCGGGTGATAATCCTGAAACCGCTGTGTCTAATAATCTTTGCCCGGTTTTAGAAGTATGACCTAATCCTGGGGTTTTGAAGCTGTTTTGATGCTCTGGTTGAAGTGAAACGCCATCTATCTCAAGTCTCCATGACTCAATCTCTTCATTTGGGTATACCTGTCTTCGTCTGGCCCCGGCGCAATGTCTTTTGTCTTTTTTGCAATACATATTTGACTTCTTCCACCCTAATGATATCCTGAAAATAGTTATTATTTATAGTATTAGACAGATTAACTTTGAATTTATTAGCTCCCTATCTTTATGGTCATTCAGGGCTATACATCTCTCAAAAAATGCTTAATTTCTTTCTTTTTCTGTTGTCACTGGCATATCATTATCAGTGTTTATAATACCTGCTGTGAAATGCGATCCTTCCTTTGCAGCTGTCAGTGAAGTTTCCAAAACCTGCCCAATACTTCATCGCCTCAAATTTCGCTCATTAAATGTTACCATTTAGCTTTTTTTTTTTTTTTCATATACTGCATAACTCTTCAACTTTTTTACTTTTTCTTTCCTAACTCTTTCTTGCTTCTTTACATCCTCTTGCAACATGTGAGGGGTGTTTCGCACTTTCTTTAATTGTTTACCTGCTGCTCGCTTTGTTTTTCGTGCCTATTCTACTTCTTAGGCCCGCCATGGAGGCTGCACGAAAGCAGAGGTGGTGTTTCTACTGCATACCTTCTGTTGAAGGCGTCCAAGAAGGGTACTAGCTCCCCCCATACATAAAAGTCTTGCACGTTCTCACAGCCCAGATCTTGCTAACTTAAGAAATCAAGGTTGGCACAGAGAGTAACTTTATTAGGACTTCCTGCAATTGACTTGTAACTTTATTAGGACTTTCTGCAATTGACTTCACTATTGCCAGTCATAGAAGTGGACAATGTAAAAAGGACTCGGCTCACTCCAGTCGCCCATCGGCATATGATTGCAGACAAATCGGTACCCGACGCCTGCACATTGTTTACTTTGATTGTAATTAAATCACGAACTCTACCTCCTTACCTCTCTCGCTGTCTCTGCCTGCCCCTGTCTGTCTGTCTCTGTCTGCCTCTCTCTCTCTCTCTCTCTCTCTCTCTCTCTCTCTCTCTCTCTCTCTCTCTCTCTCTCTCTCTCTCTCTCTGTCTCTCTCTCGCTGTCTCTGTCTGCTAATGTCAGTCTCTCTCTTTCTCGATCCGTCTGCCTCTCTCTTTCTCTCTCTTTCCTACCTGTGTGTGTTTGTATTTATGTCTGTGCCTCATTATAGGCATAACCAGGCCTTTTTTGATTACGCAGCTAAGCGATACCGCCATCATTTTTAGGCATCATTTTTTTCATCGCTACTGTTTATCACATAATCCTGATGTCGAATGTCTTTGTTAGGGTTTTACCTAATCAACCAAAAG